AGTGTCTCTTGCTCCAGCTGCAGCGGCTGTGGCTCCTGTGTCTGGACAGGAGCTCCTTCCCCTCTAGTGGCCAGCCCCAGCTGAGCAGCCCTGCAGCCTTTTATACCTGGGCTGCACTGCGAGCATGCCCAGCAGGGCTGCGGGGGAGGAGCGTAGTCTAACCATTAGGCCGGCTCTCCGCCCCCTTGTTCAGTGCGGGGCTGGCCAGCCCCATCACAGACACTCAAAGAGCTGGGTCCAAAGGCAAGGATAGAAGTCAGAAACCCTGGCTCTCAGTTTCCTGCTCTAACTGCTGCACTCTGCTTATCTTCCATTCACCCAGCCAGCTCTGAGTTATTGGGGTTTTTTTTACACTTGCCTGAAGAATTTCACTCTTTGCTTGTTGATGTTACCGGTATTCTTCTGTGTTAAGATTTGTTCTGTCTCCCTGAAAAGCCTCCTACCACTTGGGAATGTACTCTGTAGGAACCAGTCATTAATGTTAATAGCAATCCGCTGCTCAGGCCCTAATCCAACATTTCAGGTTCAGACTCGTGGTGTGTCTAGCCATGTCAAGTGACACCTGCTGTTTTCTTCCCTTTCAGCTCCCAATAAATGTGAGTTAAACTGTATTCCCAAGGGGGAGAACTTCTACTATAGGCATAAGGCAGCAGTGGCTGATGGGACGCCCTGTGAGCCAGGCAAACGGGACGTCTGTGTCGAGGGAGTTTGCCAAGTAAGTCATCCTACCACCTCATCCCTTTTCTATGGGAGAGAGCGAGTATGTCAGTCTTGTTGGCATCCCCCTTTGTCCAATCCAGCACTTCCCAAGTGATACCCTTTGTTATCCAACAACACAGCAAACTCATTTGGTTTCTGGGGAACCAAAGGAAGAATGGGGAGTATGTGCATAATTTTCTGTGGATTCTTGGGGAGAGCTAACCACGAGACCGTGATCACCCACCCATTCTCCTGCTCTCTTGAGCTATCTAATGTAGCCTCCACCTAGTGATCAGTCTTGGCCGTGACCTTTTCTTTCTTCCCACTACATGCTCTGGTTTTGGTTTAAGCACATCAAAGCCATTGTGCTCTGACAGGCTGTCGGCTGTGACAACATGCTCAGTTCTGCAAAGAAGGAAGACAAGTGCCTGCAGTGTGGAGGGGATGGCAGGGCCTGCTACGAAGTGAAGGGCATTTTTGATGTGCTCAACCTTCCCAAAGGTACAGTAGTCTGGATTCTCTAGAAGGGTGAACAGGGGAGAAGGACAGAGTGAAGCCTAGATTTGTTCTGGCCCTTTGCCTGGAGCTGGTGTAGCTGCCTGCTCAGAAGCTATTTAACCAGGGCACCCACCCAAACCGCCTGTACTGCAGGCTGCTTTTTGCTGTGCTAGAGCTAAGAAACATACTAACCGCTTTTAGCTGGGGTCCTCCTCCTAGTTCCCACTGCAGCCCTCAGGTTCTCCCACTCCCCCCATATCTTCCCCAGCTCTTAGTCTCTTGTAGATGCTACAACTCTTCTAAATAAAAGAGGTTCCATTGAACTGTCCATCACAGCATGCCTGCTGGAAGTGCTCTGCCCAATGAGGCTGGTTACTCAGGCTTTGCAGAACTCCCCTCCCCCCCAAAAGGAATAGGAGACTGGGGCCAGGACTTGGGACCTGGCTTGCCCACATTTGGCTGGCTCTGACCTACTTCATCCCCAGGGTTGCTCTGGTATGAATCTTTGTCTGCTGAGTTTCAACATTCCATAATGTCTGAGATAGGAAACAGGGTTTACAGTGGAAGCCCAAGCAGACCCCTGACTATTGTCCTCAGGGTATGATGCTCTGATAACGCTGTTCTTAGATGTATATTATCTGTGAAATGAGTGGGCTACTCCATGGGTGAAACACCTCTTGGTGCAGACACCCTAATATCAATGAAGCTGCACCAGCTGGACTGAGTTCTTTTTGGTAATCTCATAACTCATCCATGCAGCCGCTAGTGAAACTGGTTACAGCTCCTGTGCACGTGAGCGACTCTCTCCCAACCTTCATCACTGTTTGTCTGTACTGTACCAACTTCCTTCATTTTTCTTCAGGTTACAATCAAATCTTCATCATTCCCATGGGAGCCACAAGCCTCCGCATTAAGGAAGTTATGCCCAGCAGGAACTTCCTGGGTAAGACCAACATTGTAATGAGTTTACTACTACAACATAGATGGACTCAAGCCACAAAATGCTAATTTGACTTTCAAATACACCAGTGTTCAGAGGTATTTGGGGTAGGGATGAAAAGAATTAACCATGCCTTGCTGGCATGCTTACCAGGGTAACTGGTTAACCGGTGCCCAGCCCAGCTGGAGCAGATCCTCCTTCACTCCCCCCCTCTGCCCACAGTGTGGTGCAGTAGGCTCATGGCCTGGCTGGAGCAGCCCCCTGCCCACAACGTGCCTGGCCTGGCCAGAGCAGCCCCCCATACCCACAGTGGGCTCAGCCTGTCCTGCCCAGAGCAACCCGCCAGGTCCAATTAACAGCTTAAATGTTGTGTTTAACTTTGTAACCTGCATTTTACATCCCTAATTTGGAGTGGAAACTTGATCTTGTCCCCTGCAAAAGGAGAGGCTGGACACAAAGTTCAGTTCTAAATCCAGGTTCGGCTATTGGGCACCATTAGAGAGAGAGGAGTGCTCAGGTCTGAGACTCAGAAAAAAGTCTCACTGTACAGTGAAAAAGGCTCACCATGCAGAAAAGCAGAGAACCCGAGCAAAACAGCAGGGAGCATTTGTCAAGCTGGAATTGTGTCACCCTGCTCCCGCGCAGAAGATACTGAGCACACGTGGGTGTTTATTTCCTATCAGTTACCATGTTTGATGCCCCAATTGCCACTGCCTACTGGACAATGGCAGGTTAGCCCAGCAGTGACTTGGAGCTTACAGGAAGGTTGTGGTGCTTGTCTGAAAAAGCTGAATGTCAAGTGGTGGAACTGAGGCCTTCGTGAGTTGCTAATGGCCTGTGAGATTTTTAGAGCAGAGTGTAAAGCCATATGCGTCTGGTTGAACTGGTGTTAACCTGTCACTTGAATAGTGGCTCTTCCAAACCATTCATCCCCCACCTCCTCTTTTGTGCATTATGGTTTTGTGCAGCCGTTAAGAATGTGCAGGGGGAGTACTATCTGAATGGGCACTGGACGATTGATTTCAGCCGAGACCTGCACATCGCTAGCACAGTTGTGCACTACGATCGAGGTTCTGAAGGGGACTTGGCCCCTGAGCAGCTTCACTCCAGGGGTCCCACCACCGAGCCCTTAGTCATTGAGGTAAGCAGCTGGGTTTACCCTCTCAGTGCTGCGGTCGTTGGTCTTGGGCTGCATGTCATGTTTTGAAGAGGTGACTGATGTGCTCGTTTCTACAAGACGATGTCAATAGATGACAAGGAGATGATACACCTGTACTGAGGCCCATGAGCAGAGCTATCACCAGGGCCAGCCTTATAATCTGTGGGACCTGCATGGGTAAGAAGGGGCCTTGTTATAGGCCTTCCAGAGTCTTTTTATCTTATTTTATCTTCTCTGGAACCTCTGGTTCCAGCACCTGTGCTTTCTAGCCAAGAAGACAATAAGGGAAACTCATGGATTGAAGATTTTATTATGTTTATACTTAAGGCCAGTCCAGAATACCACCTGCTGCCTAACAGAGGAGCAGCAGAGTCAGCCAGCTTCGGGGAAGATGCACATTTTCTCTTTTCTGCTCTAAGATGTGGTAGGGAAGGCATTAGGAGGAAACCTAGCACAGAAAATAAATGGCCAGTGAACACAAGGATGTGGGGGCTGGAAATGGGAATTTGCCTTGCTTGGATTCTGAGATAAGGGAGGGAAGAGTAGCCAGGAGAGAGAAAAAATACTGTTTTGTTTTCTGGATCTTGCACTTCATCGCTTTCTTTTGCAGCTCATCAGCCAGGAGCCAAACCAGGGGGTGCAGTATGAATACTACCTGCCTTTGCAAGGGCACAGCTCAGGCTACAGCTGGAGCTACGGCTCCTGGAGTGACTGCAGCTCTGAGTGCGGTGGAGGTAAAGAGGGTTGGGGGCAGCCTCGTGAGAAGCAGGCAGTGTCCAATGCATAGTCAGTATCCCAAAGGGCTCAAGAGCTGTCAGCAACCCCTTTCCCAAGGCTCTCCAACACAGAGAGAGTAAGGAGCAGTGGCAGCTGCAGCAGGCCGAGTCTGGATCAGAGGCTAGGCTGGGGGTCACTGCAGGATTGTTTGCTGTATTGTGCTCTTCTGTGCCTTGTCCAGTCTAGTCATCTTTGTCCTGAGTGACAGCGCTACTGCTGCTTCCCTTGGGGCCTCTTTTAGGTCCCTGTTGAGGATTTCTTCCTGACAGGCAGCCTACGTCGTCTTTGGTTTAGCCTCAGCCTTTTACACAAGGTTTGGCCCCTCAAGCCACTCAGAATACATCCTTGCCAAGCCCACTTCCTTACTGTCCCACCCGCACCGAGCATATGACATGTCGTGCCTCCACATGGAGCATCCACCCAGCAGAGAGGCTGCCGGAGCTCCCAAGTGGGTTGCACCACATACACTTCACCACACTCACAGTTTCTCACTGACAACCAGTTTCATGGCCCCTCCCCCTCTAGTGGCCAGCCCCAGCTGAGCAGCCCTGCAGCCTTTTATACCTGGGCTGCACTGCGAGCATGCCCAGCAGGGCTGCGGGGGAGGAGCGTAGTCTAACCATTAGGCCGGCTCTCCGCCCCCTTGTTCAGTGCGGGGCTGGCCAGCCCCATCACAGACACTCAAAGAGCTGGGTCCAAAGGCAAGGATAGAAGTCAGAAACCCTGGCTCTCAGTTTCCTGCTCTAACTGCTGCACTCTGCTTATCTTCCATTCACCCAGCCAGCTCTGAGTTATTGGGGTTTTTTTTACACTTGCCTGAAGAATTTCACTCTTTGCTTGTTGATGTTACCGGTATTCTTCTGTGTTAAGATTTGTTCTGTCTCCCTGAAAAGCCTCCTACCACTTGGGAATGTACTCTGTAGGAACCAGTCATTAATGTTAATAGCAATCCGCTGCTCAGGCCCTAATCCAACATTTCAGGTTCAGACTCGTGGTGTGTCTAGCCATGTCAAGTGACACCTGCTGTTTTCTTCCCTTTCAGCTCCCAATAAATGTGAGTTAAACTGTATTCCCAAGGGGGAGAACTTCTACTATAGGCATAAGGCAGCAGTGGCTGATGGGACGCCCTGTGAGCCAGGCAAACGGGACGTCTGTGTCGAGGGAGTTTGCCAAGTAAGTCATCCTACCACCTCATCCCTTTTCTATGGGAGAGAGCGAGTATGTCAGTCTTGTTGGCATCCCCCTTTGTCCAATCCAGCACTTCCCAAGTGATACCCTTTGTTATCCAACAACACAGCAAACTCATTTGGTTTCTGGGGAACCAAAGGAAGAATGGGGAGTATGTGCATAATTTTCTGTGGATTCTTGGGGAGAGCTAACCACGAGACCGTGATCACCCACCCATTCTCCTGCTCTCTTGAGCTATCTAATGTAGCCTCCACCTAGTGATCAGTCTTGGCCGTGACCTTTTCTTTCTTCCCACTACATGCTCTGGTTTTGGTTTAAGCACATCAAAGCCATTGTGCTCTGACAGGCTGTCGGCTGTGACAACATGCTCAGTTCTGCAAAGAAGGAAGACAAGTGCCTGCAGTGTGGAGGGGATGGCAGGGCCTGCTACGAAGTGAAGGGCATTTTTGATGTGCTCAACCTTCCCAAAGGTACAGTAGTCTGGATTCTCTAGAAGGGTGAACAGGGGAGAAGGACAGAGTGAAGCCTAGATTTGTTCTGGCCCTTTGCCTGGAGCTGGTGTAGCTGCCTGCTCAGAAGCTATTTAACCAGGGCACCCACCCAAACCGCCTGTACTGCAGGCTGCTTTTTGCTGTGCTAGAGCTAAGAAACATACTAACCGCTTTTAGCTGGGGTCCTCCTCCTAGTTCCCACTGCAGCCCTCAGGTTCTCCCACTCCCCCCATATCTTCCCCAGCTCTTAGTCTCTTGTAGATGCTACAACTCTTCTAAATAAAAGAGGTTCCATTGAACTGTCCATCACAGCATGCCTGCTGGAAGTGCTCTGCCCAATGAGGCTGGTTACTCAGGCTTTGCAGAACTCCCCTCCCCCCCAAAAGGAATAGGAGACTGGGGCCAGGACTTGGGACCTGGCTTGCCCACATTTGGCTGGCTCTGACCTACTTCATCCCCAGGGTTGCTCTGGTATGAATCTTTGTCTGCTGAGTTTCAACATTCCATAATGTCTGAGATAGGAAACAGGGTTTACAGTGGAAGCCCAAGCAGACCCCTGACTATTGTCCTCAGGGTATGATGCTCTGATAACGCTGTTCTTAGATGTATATTATCTGTGAAATGAGTGGGCTACTCCATGGGTGAAACACCTCTTGGTGCACACACCCTAAAATCAATGAAGCTGCACCAGCTGGACGGAGCTCTTTTTGGTAATCTCATAACTCATCCATGCAGCCGCTAGTGAAACTGGTTACAGCTCCTGTGCACGTGAGCGACTCTCTCCCAACCTTCATCACTGTTTGTCTGTACTGTACCAACTTCCTTCATTTTTCTTCAGGTTACAATCAAATCTTCATCATTCCCATGGGAGCCACAAGCCTCCGCATTAAGGAAGTTATGCCCAGCAGGAACTTCCTGGGTAAGACCAACATTGTAATGAGTTTACTACTACAACATAGATGGACTCAAGCCACAAAATGCTAATTTGACTTTCAAATACACCAGTGTTCAGAGGTATTTGGGGTAGGGATGAAAAGAATTAACCATGCCTTGCTGGCATGCTTACCAGGGTAACTGGTTAACCGGTGCCCAGCCCAGCTGGAGCAGATCCTCCTTCACTCCCCCCCTCTGCCCACAGTGTGGTGCAGTAGGCTCATGGCCTGGCTGGAGCAGCCCCCTGCCCACAACGTGCCCGGCCTGGCCAGAGCAGCCCCCCATACCCACAGTGGGCTCAGCCTGTCCTGCCCAGAGCAACCCGCCAGGTCCAATTAACAGCTTAAATGTTGTGTTTAACTTTGTAACCTGCATTTTACATCCCTAATTTGGAGTGGAAACTTGATCTTGTCCCCTGCAAAAGGAGAGGCTGGACACAAAGTTCAGTTCTAAATCCAGGTTCGGCTATTGGGCACCATTAGAGAGAGAGGAGTGCTCAGGTCTGAGACTCAGAAAAAAGTCTCACTGTACAGTGAAAAAGGCTCACCATGCAGAAAAGCAGAGAACCCGAGCAAAACAGCAGGGAGCATTTGTCAAGCTGGAATTGTGTCACCCTGCTCCCGCGCAGAAGATACTGAGCACACGTGGGTGTTTATTTCCTATCAGTTACCATGTTTGATGCCCCAATTGCCACTGCCTACTGGACAATGGCAGGTTAGCCCAGCAGTGACTTGGAGCTTACAGGAAGGTTGTGGTGCTTGTCTGAAAAAGCTGAATGTCAAGTGGTGGAACTGAGGCCTTCGTGAGTTGCTAATGGCCTGTGAGATTTTTAGAGCAGAGTGTAAAGCCATATGCGTCTGGTTGAACTGGTGTTAACCTGTCACTTGAATAGTGGCTCTTCCAAACCATTCATCCCCCACCTCCTCTTTTGTGCATTATGGTTTTGTGCAGCCGTTAAGAATGTGCAGGGGGAGTACTATCTGAATGGGCACTGGACGATTGACTTCAGCCGAGACCTGCACATCGCTAGCACAGTTGTGCACTACGATCGAGGTTCTGAAGGGGACTTGGCCCCTGAGCAGCTTCACTCCAGGGGTCCCACCACCGAGCCCTTAGTCATTGAGGTAAGCAGCTGGGTTTACCCTCTCAGTGCTGCGGTCGTTGGTCTTGGGCTGCATGTCATGTTTTGAAGAGGTGACTGATGTGCTCGTTTCTACAAGACGATGTCAATAGATGACAAGGAGATGATACACCTGTACTGAGGCCCATGAGCAGAGCTATCACCAGGGCCAGCCTTATAATCTGTGGGACCTGCATGGGTAAGAAGGGGCCTTGTTATAGGCCTTCCAGAGTCTTTTTATCTTATTTTATCTTCTCTGGAACCTCTGGTTCCAGCACCTGTGCTTTCTAGCCAAGAAGACAATAAGGGAAACTCATGGATTGAAGATTTTATTATGTTTATACTTAAGGCCAGTCCAGAATACCACCTGCTGCCTAACAGAGGAGCAGCAGAGTCAGCCAGCTTCGGGGAAGATGCACATTTTCTCTTTTCTGCTCTAAGATGTGGTAGGGAAGGCATTAGGAGGAAACCTAGCACAGAAAATAAATGGCCAGTGAACACAAGGATGTGGGGGCTGGAAATGGGAATTTGCCTTGCTTGGATTCTGAGATAAGGGAGGGAAGAGTAGCCAGGAGAGAGAAAAAATACTGTTTTGTTTTCTGGATCTTGCACTTCATCGCTTTCTTTTGCAGCTCATCAGCCAGGAGCCAAACCAGGGGGTGCAGTATGAATACTACCTGCCTTTGCAAGGGCACAGCTCAGGCTACAGCTGGAGCTACGGCTCCTGGAGTGACTGCAGCTCTGAGTGCGGTGGAGGTAAAGAGGGTTGGGGGCAGCCTCGTGAGAAGCAGGCAGTGTCCAATGCATAGTCAGTATCCCAAAGGGCTCAAGAGCTGTCAGCAACCCCTTTCCCAAGGCTCTCCAACACAGAGAGAGTAAGGAGCAGTGGCAGCTGCAGCAGGCCGAGTCTGGATCAGAGGCTAGGCTGGGGGTCACTGCAGGATTGTTTGCTGTATTGTGCTCTTCTGTGCCTTGTCCAGTCTAGTCATCTTTGTCCTGAGTGACAGCGCTACTGCTGCTTCCCTTGGGGCCTCTTTTAGGTCCCTGTTGAGGATTTCTTCCTGACAGGCAGCCTACGTCGTCTTTGGTTTAGCCTCAGCCTTTTACACAAGGTTTGGCCCCTCAAGCCACTCAGAATACATCCTTGCCAAGCCCACTTCCTTACTGTCCCACCCGCACCGAGCATATGACATGTCGTGCCTCCACATGGAGCATCCACCCAGCAGAGAGGCTGCCGGAGCTCCCAAGTGGGTTGCACCACATACACTTCACCACACTCACAGTTTCTCACTGACAACCAGTTTCATGGTGTTCTGCGCACCTGCCTGCCCTTTCTCACCTTCTTTCCTGGTGGCTGCTGCAGGGACTCATCTCTTTTGCCCATAATACTAGTCCAAGGATGCCTCTGTAGAAGGTGGCACCACCTCCCCTATTGCTATAATCCTGGATAGTAAGGATGCAGAGTTGCCCCTTTCCCCAGGGGCTAATGCACTTTCATTCTGGGCTTAGACCCAGCCTTATGGGGCAGTCCCATAGCTCTGCTATTGTAACAAACTCACTTGCTTCAGACAACAGACACAATCACTGACTAGATAAATTACGTATGCCAGGGCACAGGCCTCAGGAGCTGGGATTAGAACCCTGGTTCCTCAACCTCCCAAACACAGGACACAGCCCTGAGTTAAATGAAAATTCTGCTCCAGACACTTAGTAGCTGGGCCAGCAGGAAGGGTATCTAGGGTAGGTACTTACAGCGCATGTATCACCATCTAATTTGAGCACCTCCCAGTCATTCGTGCACTTATCCCTCCCAACACACCCAAAAAGTAGAGTAAAACTAAGAACTGCATTTTACATGTGGAGAGCTGAGGCAGCAGGGAGCTGAACCCAGGTCTCTCAAGCCCTACGCTAGTGTCCTAACCACTGGACCATTTATAGGGGCAAAACTTATACAGAGACCTGACCTAGTTCCTTTAGCACCCTGCAGATGCTTGGGAGCTGCATACTACTACAGAAATATGCCATTCACCTCACCATTGCATTTAAATCCCTTTTATGAACAAGCCACTCTGACCAGAATATTCTTATTTTCTTCAGGTTACCAATCACGGCTGGTATTCTGCACCATAGACAATGAAGCTTATCCAGATTATATGTGCAGAGACAAATCAAAGCCAGCCAGTAACCAAACATGTGGTCTTCAGGCCTGTCCCCAGACAAAACGGTGAGACTTTCTCTCTCCACTTTTCTGGATTCTTCAACCCCTTTGTGAACTACATAGAGAGAGACCCCAGAAAAGAATGCTGATTGCTTTCAGATTCTCCCTATCCCCCCGCCACTTCAGTCTGAAAGCTGTTCAAGGAAACATACATGCCAACCAAAACAGATTTCTAGGCCCACCCCGAGGGATAGGTGATGCAGAGCTTTAACTGTCAGAACAGCGGTCAATGGCACTTCGTGCCTTAGTCACTTTAGAAAGTGGGACATAGGCTGCTAAGTTGCTTAGTCATTTTTCAAAGGTTTTATCCAAGATGTGGGAATGGATTTCTGTGCCTGTAGGGAATTGACTTGCATGGCCTGAGTCCATGACTGAAAACAGGGGTTCTCACTTTTCCTAGGAAGAGTTGCTGGCAATATTATCCTAGCCAAAGTGGGGGGAAAGAGAAGGATTCACTAAGGCCGTGTCCAGACTCAGGGGTTTTTTTGGGAAAAGTAGCCTTTTCCCGAAAAAACTTCCCCTGCGTCCAGACTCAAGCCGCGTTCTTTCGAAATTATTTCGAAAGAACGCGGCTTTTCTTTCGATGGCGGTAAACCTCGTTTCACGAGGAAGAACGCCTTCCTTCGAAAGTTCCTCTTTCGAAGGAAGGCGTTCTTCAATGTAAAGAGGCCGTCTTCGAAAGAGAGCATCCAGACTCGCTGGGTGCTCTCTTTCGAAAAAGCGGATTTCCTCTATCGAAAGATCCGCCTGCTGTCTAGACGCGATCTTTCGAAAGAGGCTCTTTCGAAAGATGCTTTCGAAAGAGCATCTTTCGAAAGAAGCCTGCAGTCTAGACACAGCCTAAGTGTTCATTCTTCCCTTCACTGCAAATAGAAGGGTGAAAGGAGTCACCTTGCTGCATTACCCCATGTCACAGCACTTTCTGAGCCCTGCAATCCTTCCTCCTTTGGGGCTGTCATACTCCCCTTCCATTACCCTTACAGATGGCTGCCACATGACTCTAACATGGGTATGTACCATGTGTACCATTTTATCACCCTCAGACACCTTGGTGTCACCTTCCTGCATATCCAGTGGAATTAGTGTGAGGCCTGTTAGAGCCCTTGTGCTTTGAGGGCACCTGGAGACCTGGGAACATGTCTGCCTACACAATAGCCTGTAGCGCAAGAATTCTATAGCTTGCTTAAAACCTTTGTTCTGTGTGTAAAGGATATCTTACATCTATCTGCCGAGAGTGTGGAGTCACAGCGGAGCCTGGAGCTCTCAAATGAAGAGGTAACAAGAAGGAGAGAGAGATTATAGCGAGCTTCAGCTATTCTCTGCCCACTTTCCACCTAGAAAATCTAGTTGCTTGATAAACCCCACTGGCTGTTTTCAACCTTGGTGATGGGATAGGATGGTGGTTTGCTTTTGATTCTTACCCGTCACAAATAATGGTGGAGGGTCCTGGGTATTAGAAAAGAGGGAGCTTTGCTCAAACAGTGGTGAGACCTACTGATTTGCTCTTCTGATGTGGCCGTTGGAGGGGATAGTTCTTAATATCTTTTTTTTTTCTGATCCTGAAATAAGCATTGTCATTTCTCTTGGCTTGATTTTTTTAAGATTTTGCTCAATTTGTCAAGATGCTAAACTCATAGAAAGCAAAAGAAATGGGGTGGAAATGTTGTGAATCAGATTTATTTAATAACTACTCAGAATGCCACACTTCCTTTGTTGCAACTTTTTGTTTTCTCCAAAGCACTTCTCCTAACAGCATGTGCTCCAGGGCAGGCACAAAAGGACCTGGATGCAGTTGTGGTTTCATGGCTCTCCTCTAAGACACCACAAGCAAAAAAAGGGGAAAATAGTCCTCCCAGCAAATCTCTCTACTGATGCTTACATGAGACTTACCACCATGTTGCCCTCTACTGTCAATAGATACCTTCATGGTTTCAATCTCACAGATCGCCTTGGTTTACAGAGGACCTGTGATGAAAGAATATGGCAGAAGATGCCTTGAGTGACAGTTGCAAAAGCCTCTGGGTGAATTTGGCTAATCATCATAAAGACCTTATTACATAAGGAGGGCCACTCTGGGTCAGACCGCAGGCCCATTTTGCCCTGCATCCTGTCTTCTGACAGTTGCCAGTTCCAGGTGCTTCAGTGGAAATGAACAGAACAGATAATCATCAGGTCTCAGAGGGGTAGCCATGTTAGTCTATAACTTTAAAAACAATGAGTAGCCCTGTGGCACTTTAGAGCAGTGTTTCCCAACCGGGGTTCCGCGGACCATCATCAGGGGCTCCGCGAGAAATTGTGGAATAAATAACGCTGGGCAAGGCCTGGAGCGTCTGTCACGCCCTTTGCCTCCCGCCCTGGCGCTTGGCTGACTTCTGCGCCACTCAGCCGGGGGGGGGGGGGGGAGTCGGCTGATTTCTGCGCAGTTCAGCCGGGCCGCCACACGGGAGCAAGCGACCATTTGGGCTCCGCGAGTGAGAGGCAGGAGGGGGACGAGAAGAGAAAGTGAGACAGGAGGAGGAGGAGAAGAGAAAGAGAAAGTGAGACAGGAGGGGGAGGAGAAGAGAAAGAGAGTGAGGCAGGATGGGGAGGATATTTGATATCTGAAAAAAAAATTAGATAATGCAAAAAGAGACAGGAAAAAATACTCCAATTTTTTTTCTTACAATGTAAGCTAACACACACATATATACAGGGCTCGACAAACCGCGGTGAAAACCACTCACCAGCCCTGCACATGCACGAGACCCGCACTGCGCATGCGCGAACTGCCGGTGAACGGGGCGACTGGCTGAAATCTACTTGCCACGGGCGAGTAGATAAGTGGATTTGTCAAATTTAGCAGTAATTGAATTACGCTCCCCACTGTCAACTTTTTCTGGCCAAGCAAACGTTTTCATAGGTAGGGGTTCCTCAGGATATGAAAAATTATTTTAGGGATTCTTCCATGGGAGAAAGGTTGGGAATCACTGCTTTAGAGTCTAACAAAAATATATATATACAGTATCATGAGCTTTTGTGGGCACAACACATTTCTTCAGATGAGTTGGAGAGGGATAATAGAGTCCTAGAATTTATAAAAGAAAAAGAAGTGGGGGGGAAGTATCTGTCAATTGCAGGACCAGTGCTAGTGAGGCTAATTAAATGGGCTGAAAGTGTCCAGTACTTAGTTTTCTCCCCAGATACCTTTTTATGGTGGCCTCTTCAGATGAGTTGGAGAGGGATAATAGAGTCCTAGAATTTATAAAAGAAAAAGAAGTGGGGGGGAAGTATCTGTCAATTGCAGGACCAGTGCTAGTGAGGCTAATTAAATGGGCTGAAAGTGTCCAGTACTTAGTTTTTGATGTACAAATGAGGTGTTTAAGGCAGGGAAGGCTGAAAGTTAATGTCTTTGTTCCAACCCAGGGAAACATTGTCAAATTTGCAGATGAATACCAATTCCTTAACTCTCTCTCTCTCTCTCATTGGCTGGTGAAATTTCTTTGTAGAAGAATGGCTACTTTTAAATCCATTAATCCAGGCAGGTTAAAATGTTCTCCTACAGGTTTATGTGTGTTAACATTTCTGATGTCTGACTTGTGTCCATTTATCCTTTGGTAATTTGGCCAGTACACATGGCAGAGGGGCATTGCTGGCACTTGATGGCATAGATCACACCAGTGCAGTGGTCACTAACCAGTAGATCTTGGAGCCTCTGACAAGTGATCCTGACTGGTTTGGCCAGGGAACTATCAAGCGCTGGCACTTCAGTTGCCCCTTCACCCACTGTCATGCTGCTCCTACCCCTGCCTTGGAGCTGCCCCTCTTGGAGCCTCCTGCTTGCTGTGCAGTGTGTGGAAGGGAGGAAAGGGGGGGCACTGATGTGAGGGTGTCCCTTCCCCCACTCCTGTATCCCATCTCCACACAGAGAGAAGGGGATGGAGGGGAGCTTGGCAATGCAAATCTCTGGCACTCTCACACACTGTGTGTGTGTGTCTGTCATTCTCACAAACACACGCTGACCTTCACTCTCATCTCCCAACCCAACACATACATGGGGGGGTCGTTGTTACTTCTGTTACTGCTTGCAAAGTGTGTTATTTTTGGTTTTTGACTGCTCTGTGCATTTCAGAATTTTCATTTCTCTCTTACGCTTACGTTTAATTCTTTTAGTAGTGAGTTCTAAAAAGCCTATCCTGTCGTGGCTGAAATCATTATCCCCATGGTAATTGCTGCTCCCGGACATGGCTGGCATGTTCCTGCAGCCCCCAAGAAAGACAGAGCAGAGGGTCTCCACATGCTGTTCTCAACTGCAGACACCACTCCTGCAGCTCCCATTGATCAATAATGGGGAGCCTTGGCCAGTAGAAGCTGTGAGCTCAGTGCCTGTAGATGAGGGGAGCTCATGGTGCCATGGAGCCATTGCTGTACATGCCAGCTGCTTTCAGGAATGGTGCAGGGCCAGGGCAAGAGTAAGCCTGTCTTAACTCCACTGCTCCACCACCCGGAAGCCGTCTCAGTTAAGTGGTGCCCAGCCAGAGCCTGCTTCCTGAACCCCCTCCTGCATCTAACCTCCTGCTCCAGACATGAGTCCCCTGCACTCAAATTCCTTCCTAGAGCTTGTGCCTTGAACCGTCTCCTGGACTCCAATCCGCCACCCTGGGCTAAGCCCACAGCCCCTCCCAACTCTGAACCTTTTGGCCCAACATCAGAGCCTGCACCCCAACTCCCTACTTCAGCCTGGTGAAAATGAGTGAGGTTTGGGGAGGAAGAGGGATGGAGTGAGTAAGGAGAGGCCTCTGAGAGGGTGTGGAACAGGGACAGGGCCTCAGAGAAGGGGCGGGAAGGAAGCGAGGGAAGGGTATTTGGGTTTGAGGTAGATTGAAAAGGTGATCTTGTGGTTAAAAAGGTTGGAGACCCCTGCACTAGTGGATGTGCAGTTGTAGGAGCCCCTGATGATGTGGCTTATGTGGTTAGGTCCTGTGATAGTGTCACTTGTATAGATGTGGGGACTATATCTATAGCTTGTTGCAGGTGTAGGTTCCTGGGTGAGTGCGTGACATGTGACTGCTGGAAAGAATTTGCTTCAGGTTGGGGAATTGTCTGTAGGTGAGGATTGGTCGGTCTCCCAAGGCCTGTGAGAATGAGGGATCATTTTCCAGGATAGGTTATAGATTGTCAATGATGCTCTCGGGGCAGGGGTTGTAGGTGATGGGGCTGTAGTTGATGACTACTGGTGTTCTGTTATTTTCCTTGTTGGGCCTGTATTGAAGTGGTAGATTCCAACAGAAATAAGGGTAGCAATTCCCCTCCCCCCCCATACACACCCATACCTTGCAATCCTTCCCCAAAATTCCTTTAAGTGTCAGGACCTCTGCAATTACAACACTATGACATTTCAGATTTAAATAACTGAAATAACAAAATTTATTATTTTAAAAGTCCTATGATTATGAAATTGGTAGGGCCTAGTTATGATGAGAGGAGTCCTGAGCATCTGAAACACTAGCAAATTTATTTGGGCATAAGCCTTGGTTGGCTGGAGTCGACTTTGTCAGATGCATAAAGCTTCGTTGTTTTTGCTGAAACAGACTAACAGGGCTGCCCCCTGAAACTTGTCACTTAATATACAGTCAGGTGTGTGTAGGAATCTGTTACTTTCATGGCTGCTTCCTGGATATGCAGGTATTAGGAACTATCTCAAATTGTCTCCTTTGCACATTTTCTTGAGTGGGAGACCAAAAAAAAAAATTAAAAATTATGAGCTGTGACCTTTGTTCCCTCTAATTTTTTCCATCTTTATGTGGAATAAATATTATGTGCACCAACCATGTGCGGATGTGCACCACCAGGAGAAACACATGCTGCCAGGTGTAGGTGCTCTGCAAATCAGTTGGGCGGCATTTGAATCTCCCCTGAGCAGCTGCACAAGCGCACAGCTCACAGGAAACACTGCCTGTGACATCTTGTTATGCTGTGATGGCTCTTTGTGTTTTTCCATTTCTGATGTCACAACACAAAAAGAGATTTTTCCCTACCTGGGTGAACTGGGAATTTCAGCGGGAACATTGGACCTTTGTGCACCAGCTTTGATACAGCACAAGCCCTATCTACAGGAACTTCCTTGTTAGCCCTGTTTGTTCAGTGGGTTCTCTGATGGCTTTCTCTTGCCTACAGCTGGAAAACTGGGGAATGGGGAGCCTGCTCAGCCACCTGCGGGGGAGGCACCCAGACTCGCTCAGTTTACTGCATGTCATACAATGGACAAGGCTCCCCGGGGTTGGTGGATGATGCCAAGTGCGAGGCCTTTTCGGAGGCACCCCGCAGCACACAGCCCTGCAACATGAGACAGTGCGCGACATGGAGCACAGGGCCCTGGTCAGAGGTGAGTTATACACTGAATGCCAGCACCCCTGGGGTTGAACCAGGGACCTTCAAAGATCAAAGTGTGAAAAGAGACAGGTTCTCATCTAGGGCTGGACCAGACTTGAACCCTGTGCAGATTGGACAGAGAGGCTACGTCTAGACTGCAAAGGTAAGTCGGAAAAAGATACGCAAATTGCGGTTTGCAATTTACGTATCTTTTTCTGCTTTACTGTTGAAAGAGGCTTTTCTGTAATTTAGCGCATCTACACGGTGCCAAAGTTTGGAAAAACATGCTCTTTCTTTGGAAAAACATCCCTTCTTCCTCGTAAAATGAGGTTTACAGGGATGACGAAAGAACACATCCGCTATTTCGGAAATTTTTCCGAAAAAGTGGACGCATTCCTTAGACGCGGCATTGCTTTTCCAGGATACTGGAGGTATCCCAGAAAAGCAGTGCAGTCTAGATGTAGCCAAAGAGACTTACAAAACACATTCTGTGCAGATAGAGGACCTAATCCTGCCTTGTTCCTTGGTCTCCAAAGGCATTGCACTAAGCTGTTTATCTGGGCAGAGCTCAGCCCATACACAGTATTGTGAGTTGGATTTTTGGTGCCTGGGTGCATTTGTGTCTCCACAAGGGGACACTCTGAACCACTTCCATGCAGGCCTCCCTGTGAGGAAGACATTTGAATCCTAGCTGCATAGAAAGGAGAGATGAAGGACACCTATTAAGTCCCTATCTTCAGTGCAGGGCTGAAATTTATTCTTTAGAACTTATGTTCAGTCCAACCATGAAGTCTGGCAACATTTGTCTTGCTGTGTTCAGACACTGCATTGCCTAAAATGGTGCTGTGCCATGTAATGTAACAGAGTGGCATAACATAAGGGCAGTGCAATTCCTGAAGCAGATGCAGGACTCTACATCTGCCTCGAAAGATGCAGGAAAAACATCTGGATATGGAGACTGTGTCACCGATTCCAGAATGTTTTGGATACCAGGAATCATGACAGTGAAATTAAACGAGGAAGGTGGCATGGAAAGGTACTAAATAGATATAGTAATTTCTAGCATAGTGGTTGAAACACAGCTCTACCCTGTGGAAAAAACAGAGTTACTCTTCTCCCTCTGTCATCAGGATAAGCAGATTAGGGGCCAGACTGTGGATCACTTGAGTGGGACAAAGTCTTTGGGGGATCTGGACAATGCAAGAGCTTATGTCATCTTCCCTGCCCTAAAATCCTGGCCTTATGTTGATTTCTGGCAGGAGATGCTAACACCATAAAAACCTGTAACTCTTGTCTGTCACTTTGCATCAGTAGATCTCAAAGCACTTTACAAAGGAGGTCAGTATTATCATCACTGGGCAAATTGATAGGGGAACTGACTTGCCCAAGTCAACTACAAGCTGGTTGCAGTGTCAGGAATAGATCCCCTAGTGCCCTGCCAATCAGGCTACTCTGCTGCTACACAGCCCAAGAGTGAGGGCATCCCAGTGACATGCTTGTTAGGCTGCTTCTCTGATGGCTGTTCATCCTGCAACACTTCAGAGCTGAAGTCTATTTTGCAATTGGGGAGCAGAGCCAGGAAACACGGAGGTACCTACCTGCCTTCTCTATAACAATCAAGGCCCTTCTTGCAGTGCTCGGCTAGCTGTGGAGAGGGTGTTCAGACCCGGACTGTCACCTGCAGAACTGAGTTGGGCTCTCAGACTCAAGACTTTGCCTGCCTGACAGAGCCTAAACCACCCCCCAGCCAGCCTTGTCTCAAGGAGAATTGCATCCAGAAGATTGGCTGGCACATTGGAGGATGGGGCCTGGTGAGTGTTGTACCCTCACAGTGCTCACTTCATTGATTAGCTTGTACTCATGCAGTGTTTCTGACATATTGTGCTGCGATTGAATCAGCCCACATGTTGGTTGCTGGGGCTGGAAGCGCATACTCCACGGCTCACTGTCACAGCTTGTGTCTGCTCCAGAAACAAGCCCTCGGGGGGGAGGGGGGATTAAAGTGTCAGTGACTGTGGCAGCATGCAGCTGATACACTGAAATAATCCACTCCTGTTGCTTTTATTCCCATTCCTGTGACACCACTATCAGCATCACAACTACCTGTCTAAATGTGACACATTATGAGGTAGGCTCTGTCGCTAGTGGGCTGGACACCATGTTTGGGGAATTGAAGTATGTTTCTGAAAGGGTTCAGGGTAACCCAGTTTAAACAGCGGGTTGCCTGCCTTTTGGGAACGGGCCAAACTATGCTTAGCCTGACTTTTGGTCAGATCCGCACCAAAGCTATTAGGCAATTTCCCAAATTCAGTTTTTCCCCGTCTGTGCCAGGTGAGTTTAGCCTGAATTGGCTTAAAAGATGCCAGCATAGTTCTTGGCACTTTGGGGTCTTAACAAGGTCAGGTGACTCTTTACACCTTGATCTGATTCTCTCTGGTGCATAGGATTCCAACAAATGAGGGGATGAGTGCTTGGTTTGGGTGCCTAGTTTTGAAAATGATGTCCTGTATCTGATTAAAGACGAAAAGTGCCTTGCTGGGGCAGGTGTGTTACGCAGATACTTACTCCCCATTCCCTGGCTTCCTTGCCTTCCTTCCTGGCTGTTGCTGAACCCTCCCTGCCACCCCCACTTTAATTCCCAGCAAGAGTGGCAACAATGCCAGTCAACCATGCTCACCAGAACCACCAGGCTTGGTTGCTACATTGTCATCCCCCTTGTAATTTGGTACTTGGCCCAAGGGAAGGGGGGATTTGAGGACTATGGCCAGCAGAGCTGGTGGACCGCAGTGACCGTCAAACTGCTCCTTGCCATGTTCAACACTCCAGTTTTGGTCACACCATCACTCAGCCGGCTGCCATGGGCTATGCTTTGACATGTTTTGCCAGTAGCCAACTGTGGTCCTGGTCAGATGCCAATGCCAGGCTTGCAGGGTTGCTGTGTTCTCTCTACTTGCTCTCATCTCATCTTTCTGCCCAAGTGTTCAAAGAGCTGCGACTCGGGTGTCCGAATGCGCCAGGTCATCTGTGCTGATGGCGATTCCAAATTCTACCCCCGTGAAACATGTGAGAGCAGCCAGCTGCAAGCCCCTGCCACGCTGGGAAGCTGCAACACTCAGCCCTGCTTCCTGCCGCAGCGTAAGTGACCTATCTAGACATCTGGATTTTCCTGGGATGTTTCTGCTTTTGCATAAAAAATTCTCAGTATCCATGCCATTGGGGTTGATTGTTTCAAGACCTCTGCCCCTTGCCTGCCCATTCGTGCAGTTTTCATAGAGCAACAGAATTGCTCCATCTTCCTGCAGTGTCTGGAATGGGTTTGCTGCTAGTTGTGTTGTGTGAAACGTGCTCATCAATCAGGGTTGTGAGCAACACCAGTGTCTGCCCCTTTTGAGACCGATGCTTTTAATTCCGGTATCCCCCCTGACCTTTATCTTGGCTGCTGCTGAGGATTGCATCAGGGACCACCTGAGCTAAAAATGTAAGCCTCTGTAGCTGGGGGCTGTAACAGATTCATCCTCTGTGGATCAGGTATATAAAGGGGCATGCAACACACTGATTAGTGTGTTTACAAATGTTGCTCTCTGAAGGCGAATCAAACCAAACATACCAAAGCCCATCCTATCGGGTCTATCACCACAGAACCAGGGGTAATGGGGTAATGCTTGAACGGTCCATCCAGTCCAGCAGTGAGGATGCTCCAAGCAAACAAAAATCCTCATTGGCTTCAGAAGCTTTGAGATCTCCTATTGGTTATATTAATGCTATGACCTCCCCAACCAAAGCTATAAGACCCCCCTCATGATTATTCATGTATCAAAGCTCTGTAGCTTAAAGCAACAGCAGCCTAAAAATGGGGCCTTGAATTAGTTACCTGAAGTCACACAGAGCAAACAGCATTTCACCATTGTTAAGCAGTGCTACCTATAGGCATCTTTGTTACGTCTCTGTCTATTTTTGCCACGCTGAGAGATGGGTTCTGTTGTCCAGACTTAATACATTGCCCTTCCTGTACTGAAAGTAATAGGCTGCAGAGATACAGCTGTCCAAAGTTGTGTCCTGAGATTCATGATTTCATAGAATCATAGAATCATAGGACTGGAAGGGACCTCAAGAGGTCATCGAGTCCAGCCCCCCGCCCTCAAGGCAGGACCAAGCTCTGTCTAGACCATCCCTGACAGATGTCTATCTAACCTGTTCTTAAATATCTCCAGAGAGGGAGATTCCACCACCTCCCTTGGCAATTTATTCTTTGTTAGTTACAGATTAACATGGCTACCTCTCTGAGACTTTCAAAATGGTTATAGTATTACATTCACAACACAACTTTCAATGGCTTTTTAGTCTCAGATATAACTAGAACTAGTACCTATATACATTTTTATATTACCAGATTATTTAATTTACAAAGTACAGCAATGAAGGGAGAACATTAAATCCTTTCTTTTACGAAATTGCAAATATTCCATGGAGTTGCTTCATAGTATCCTACTACAGTTTTCACTTTGTCTATACAGGGCTTTATAGTGTGGCTACTTTACAAAGATACAAGGAATTTAGCGTCTACACTATAGATACAGGCACACATACATTGTCTCATAGATACCGCAAGAGGAAAGTCCAAATCCTGCTTTCACATTAACAAGTACAACTCTCACTGAATTCAGTGTGCTGTGTGCAAGTATCTAAAGTCAATTTGGCTCAATGACTTTAAAGACTTACCAGAAATTATTTCTGATGCAGTAATATTTATAGTATAGATTCTTTAACTATGTAAAGAAATTTCAATGAGGTTCAAGAATAAGGCTCCCTTGGGTCATTAATGGTGCAGGCCAGTGTTTTTCAATTTCAGGCCTGTGGACCCATGTCGTCCACAGACTATGTCCATGAGGGTCTGTAAAAGGTCATTGTTGCCATAGAACAGTGATTTTTCAACTGTGATCTGTGGACAACATGGGGGTCCACAGAGTACATCTAAGATTTCCAAAGGGGTCTGACCTACATTTCAAATTTTTAGAGGTTAACAACAACTCTCTGACTATGGTTATCCAGCCAATTATGCACCCATCTTATTGTGGCCCTATCTAAGTTATATTTGCCTAGTTTATCAATAAGAATATCATGCGAGACCGTATCAAATGCCTTACTAAAGTCTAGGTATATGACATCCACCGCTTCTCCCTTATCCACAAGGCTCGTTATCCTATCAAAGAAAGCTATCAGATTAGTTTGGCATGACTTGTTCTTCACAAACCCATGCTGGCTATTCCCTATCACTTTATTACCTTCCAAGTGTTTGCATATGATTTCCTTATTTGATATTTGCATATGATTTGACATGTTTCAACATGTTTTCTGGGTAGGGTCTCCTGCTTCCTCCTCTGGCCTTATGGGAACGTGGCAGGTTGACAGAGAACCATGCCAATCCACATGAGTTGGAATAATATTGGGGACACTGTATCCCAATCTGAATATTTGTTCTCCTGTCCAATCTCATGGCACAGGTGAATATAGACACTTGCATTTACTAGTCCAACCCACTGCCTGTATTCTGTCAACTGTCCATCTCCTTTCAGAGGACCCCAGTATGCAGGACACCACAGGCTATGACATCAGCCGATGGTCCTCACTGACCCGCTACTACCCGGACAATGCTACTACAGGTACGGAGGATCTTATGTTTTCTTTTGTTACTATGTCCTCTTTGTTGTTTTCTTTATTTTCTTTTTTTTATGTGACTTGTAGGCAGAATCCTAGGCAGAGGAACAATTTCTGGATTCTTTTACATCTATATTGAGTTGTATCTAGATGCCTGTTCACAAAGAAATGTATATACATATGCATGAGTCCTAGGCTTTGATACAGGCAGCATTAGGCATAGGGTAAGTGGAGTGCCACCTTGGCAGTCACATCCAGGCCTGCTGACAGGGCATGGGAGGGGAAAAGGGAGAAACTATGCCAGGGCCTGGTGATTCAAAAGAATCTGGAGCCTCCCAGACACTTTTACTGTGGCAGCAGCAGCAGCTGAAGCTGCAGGCCCTTTAAATCGCTGCCAGAGGCCTGTGTGGTGCACTCCCAGTGGCTCTGAGGGCTGGCTGGGAGTGGGGGATGTGGCGACATACTCCAGGGAGAGCTGCGGGGGGGCTGCCCCAACCCCACCCCTTCCGTCTGAGGCGCCACCCTTTCCAGGAGTGCAGAGCTGAGCCTGCAGTCCCACCCTGCCCAGGGGCCTTAGTCATGTCTAAGAGGTCACCAGGAGGATGTTTACTTTGGTCCCTTGCCAGCACTCCAGTCCCAAATCTTTCTTTGCCACCAGCAGATGTTCTCCCCATCTCATCCCTGGAAGAGATCCCCTGTTTCTAGTCAGTTGTGTGCTGCAGGCATCTTTAGGTTTCAAGTTTGACTTGGAATTTTGCATCGGCAGCGCCAGTGCCTTTTTTGAACCACTGCTGCTGCTGATAAAGAAGAATTTTGGGAACTAAAGACTCGCAGGGAATTTAGAGATCAGGAAACTCCCATTCGGAGAAGGACGTGAAACAGATGGGGAAGTGTTAGGTGTGTTACTGAGCTGGGTAGGTTGGCAGATGGGAAGGGAGTAGCCAGCAAGTAATAGGTGACTGATGCCATATTCAGTCACTTCAGCCATGTTCAGCCTTCACAGTTTGTATATTAAGGAACCTGCTACACCGGGGATGTGGGGGCAAATTACAGCCTGCAGGCTGCCTCTGCCTGCCAGAGCTTTTAATCCAGTCCTCAGGCTCCATCAAGCTCCATTGCTCTTGTCGGTGCTCCAGCCTGGAAGTGGGACCAGGATTTGTCCTGTTTTGTCTGTCCAGGACTCCTGTGAGGGAACAGAATCAGGGGCTTGCAAGCCTCCAGGCCATGATCTCACTCGCTGGCAGGAGAGACCAGCAGGCAAAGGAGGGATTGTTGTGCCAGTGTGTGTATAATTGTAAGTAAGATTTTCTGTTTTTCTTTCCACTAAAATGTAACTTTTATTAAATAAAGTTTTATAATATTTCTTCTTCTGCGTTAAAATAATTAACAATATTGCCTAACGAGGGTTTACTTGGAAGCCAAAATAGATTGAATATATTGCCACAGTCAAATGGAAAAACACTGATGATTCAGCAAAGCTAATTACAGATCGTAAAAAAAGTCAGCAATAAACATGGTAACTACCAAACTTTTACATAGTGCAGTACACGGAAAAGTTTTAGCTAACATACAATTTGTGTTCAGACAGGAGTAAAATTGTGTGGTAAAATTAACAAACAGCTCAGTAATGTAATTTTTTAACAGCTATTTGTTCAACAGAATTATTTTAAGTGTTGATTTTGAAACAAGCTTGTGTTGTCTGTATTTGAACATAAATGGTTAATTCTGTGAACATTTAAGGCCTGCCATACAATTTCCATACCCAGATGTGACCCTCAGGCCAAAAGTTTGAACACCCTGCGCTAAACACTTGCCCATAGTCATCTTATAATAGGAATATCTGAGGGGGAAAATGCCCCATGTGACATAGCTAACAGCATCTTCTGGACTACTGGAAGGGCAGGAAGAATATTGTGAGAGAGTGTTTCTTAAGGGTAATAGATCATCTGATAACACAGCAATCCTAAGGACCCAGAATTAATTGTGAATGGGACCCGAAGGTTCAATCAGAAAGTTCCCTGTGGCTTTCTCCCAAGTGACAAATGTATGTTAACAAGTCTGGCCTCTGAGTCAGACTGGTAGAAGACTGATTTCATCTAGCAGTGTGCTTCGAACAGAGGCAGAAGAAACCAGGACAGGATTTTGAAATGGGCTGCATGCATTAAGGATTTTTTTTTTTCAGTATATAATGATGAAAGAACAATCCAAGGTAGCTCCAGACACCGCCAGCTCCATTCCCGTGAAGACCATAGTTCCAACTTCTTGCCTCTTCGCATGGAATCCCACTCAAGCTCTTCAGGATCCCAGCAGTTCAACTCCCATCAAGATATCACCACACGCACTGGCCTTCGGGACTGCAGCCAGAGCCCGCATGGCTGCTGCTCAGATGGTCACACTCCAGCTTCTGGCCCCTTTGGGCAAGGCTGCCCTTTCAGCACTTGCCATCAGAGCAGGTCAGATGAAACAGTGGAGTTTGGGCGGGTGGAACTACCCTGTCCGACAGAGCTGATGTTTACAGACTGCCTTTGTTGGGTCAGAGTTCCACGAAAGATTGATTTTTTTACTAAAGCCCTTTGTTGTTTCCCTGCAGGTATGGATGCTGCCCTGATGGAATATCAGCTGCCCAGGGCCCCAACAACAGGGGTTGCCCACAATCTTACAGTGATGGGCATGTGAGCAGAAACAGGCCTGCCGCGGCCTCCCCAACAGTATGTGCCAGAACTCTCTAGAACCTTTTGCTAGTGGTATTAAGATGTGGTTGACAGAGTCCATTGTTTTCAGGGTCTCCTGACAATAATTCTGGGGAAGTGATGGTGGGAGGATGCTAGATACCCACTAAGCCAGCATTCCCACTGGGAATTCCTTTGTGACATGGGTCCAGGTGGTAATGTGGCAGCTGCAGTCTGTGCTACCAGGTTGAAGAGTTGATGAGCCTTGTTTGGGGAGGAGCCTCACTAGTTCTTATTGTAGGACACTGAAACACGTTCCCTCTTTCAAGGCAACCAGAAATGAGCAGCATTACATGCAGAGGGGGAAGTATTTTGATTTTTGTGCCTGCATTTGATGTGTGGTTCCTACCATTCTATGAGGCTACCTTGGATGTGATTTTTTTTTTCTGAGAAAGTAAGTCTTTGTGTAACCCACACACCTACTGGGTGTGGTGCACTGTCTCATGTAGTGGCAGTCTGACCACTTACAGGGAGGAAGAATGAATTTGCTCTACAGCTTTATCTGAGAGCCAGCTGTTAGTTCAAATGGTAGAGGCTCATGCACTAAGCATTTGGTTCTGCCTGATGGCGGAACATTTGCAGTGAGAGATGCTAGGTTCTGGAACTGTGTTGCATCAGGTGAATTAACAAGGTGATTCAGGGTCCAGAACAGGTTAGCGGGCCACGCCAAAATGCAAATAACAAGGGGCAGGATGATGATTCAAGAGATATAGCAGGTTTCACTTCAAAGTTGTCCATTTTATTCTAGCCTACATGAATAATGGCTGAAATTCCATACCATGCATTATCCAGTGGCCTATGTGACATGAGACACTGATCTCCATCTCATTCCTTTCAATGACAGAAAAACATCTCTATTACCCCTGGCAGATTCTCCTCTTAGCAGTCTCAACAGAGTAAGCCAAAGGGAGAAGTGGCCATAGAGAAAGAACTACTTTCTTACCCCTAGAAGTGATTCCTTCAGGCACATTGGTGGGCAGCATAAGGAGGCTTGTGCTGCCACTGAGCACGCTGTATCTGTTCTGGGGATAAGCAGAAAATCTCTAGCCGCTGAGGCTGTCAGTCTAGCTCTCTTTACTGGCATGCCACTTGCAGAAAATCAGTGTTGATAATGGATCTTGAGCGGCTAGACCAACCCAGTGGGCAAATTCTGTGATCTGTGCTGCAGCTGTGATCAGTAGCTGCATGGTAGCTTTTGGCTTTGAATTTTTTTCACTCAGGCAAGTCAAGCTTTGACCCTGCAGAACCCGTCCGATGAGTGCCGGGGTTCTATGTATGGCTGCTGCTATGACAACATTGCTTCAGCTTCAGGACCTCAAGGGGAAGGATGCCTCAACAGACCCAGCCAGCGTAAGTGACATTTTGGCTTTGTGTTTTAGAGATGTGTCCCCTGAAGAGAACAGCCTACAGAATTTAATTGGAAATGTGAAGCTTTCTCTAGGGTTTTTCACCTATCCTGTAAAATGCAATACAAAACCATCTCCCGCAGTGGGATTCTGTGTGATGGCTGGGAAGATATTAGATAAATTCCCACCAATCCCTGTTAACTTTCAATAGAACCCTATTGAGTTCATCTCAGAGTCTGTAGGACTTCTTCCTAAGAGCCATTCTGCGGGGCAGAACTCACTCATGCACCCCTGCTTGCATTCATCCCTGTTGGCTGCGGTGATCCATGACAAGCTAGGAATCTTCCTATCATCAGTGGGCTATATCCTGCCCCCAAACAATCCTGTTGACCACAGTATGGTTTCAGGGCTGTAAGCAGGAGACAAACATGTCACTGAGGACTGCAGAGCTATAGTGCCCCCTGAGGAGCTCCAGTGACATTTGGTTTTGTTCCTTCTCAGAGAGGGACAGCCCTGGGAGCATTTCTGTCCAGCCACCCATAGGAATGGACAACTTCTCACTCATTTCTCCACACCCCTATAGGGGCCACTTGTAATCTGGGCTGTAGCATCTGAAGCTGCTTTTCCAATGCATCCTGGCTCTAGGGAGTCAAAGTGGTGTCTGTGAGCCAGCAGATAGCCTAAGGTTCATAAGGCCATGAGGTTACATTTATTCCTCTGTCCTAGCATGTGGGGGCCAGAGTACCTTGTATTAACTTAGGTTTTGGGACCAGTTCTGGTTCAAGGCCTTGGGCTAGATGACCTGGGAATGACACCCTCCCTCCCTAGAGCCTCACAGCACAAGAATAACAATTGCATAACACTCTGTGCTAGGTTATAAAACCTAAATGAATCATTTTACACATAAGGAACTGAGAGACAGAGAGGTGAGCGTGTCTTGCTCAAGGTCATCGGAGCCAGGGAGTCAAGGTCAGTGTTAGGAACAGAACCCCTAACTCCTAGTTGGGTGTGCTACCCACGACAGCATGGACAGCAGCCTGGCTGGCATGGTGATGAAGCTGTCAGGGCTAGCTGCTCAGTAGAAAGGAGACTCCAGGAGTGAATCCTCACAATCATGTCTCTCTCTTTTCTACGGTCTGTTGGTAGCTTATCCTGTCAAGTGTCTGCTGCCCAGTGCCCAGGGCCCCTGCTCAGACTGGACCACTCGCTGGTACTTTGTAACTGCCGTCGGCAAGTGCAACCGGTTTTGGTACGGTAGTTGCCATGGCAACACAAACAACTTTGCCTCAGAAGAGGAGTGCATGAGGGCCTGCCGAGGCTCCATGGAAACAGACAGTGTGGTGCACCAGTACCACAGGGGGACTTTGAACTTCCGCTCTGGCTCCCACCCACAAGAGGGAGAAGCCCAAGGGCAGCTGCAGTCATCTGTAGGCAGAGAGTCCTTCCACTTTTCCCAGCCTGGGCCTGATAGCCATACACCATGGCAGGGCACAGGACTGCACGCCAGGAAGGATGGCTGGAGAAGGACCCTGAATGTGGATATAGTGCCAGAATCTTCACAGAGGACTGGCCAGAACTGGGGCTCTCATCACTCTGCCACTCCTGGGGAAAGGAGGATGGACCAGTCAAGCCAGCTGCATGGGAGGGGGGAAACACTAGTGTCTGGGCACTCGGAGAGGCAGCTCACTGTTAATGGGCAGGTGGTGCAGCATGGACATGAGCAATGGCGGAGTTCCTCTGGGGCAGCCTTTCCTGGGGCGGATGGACTTGGGCATCAAACCTCCCCTGGTTCCACCTTGCAGCGAAACTTATACAGGTGATGCTTTTATACTACTCAACCATGATACTGAAGCACCAAGCACCATCTCCTCCAGGGGAGAACGTTTTCCAGGCCAGAAACAACTCACTCTCCTGAAATGTCCCACTACAGATAACTTATAATAGTGTCCCTGAGTAAAGCCAGTGATCCATGCCAGCGGGATGTCCAGTACCCCCTCTTCTGAGGTAGTGTCCACTCCTGCACACCTCATACAGCCATTGACTTGAGTGGAAGTAGTGGGTGTCTAAGGACTGCAGGGTTTGGCCCCTCATCGCCATCCTTTATATCCAGTGGACTCTTTACAGGGATCCTGTGGGCCAGCTCTGGCTCCCATTTAAGTCAACAGGAGTTATGCTTGCTTACATCAGGGGCAAATTTCTCCCTGTGTTGTGATTTCAAAACTTTATTTTGGCATGGTAAGGGAAGAACAGTGGGTTGATACAAGAGATGGATCCAGGTCAGCTGATGAACACCCCAAAGATCAAAGGTATTTGGTTTTCGGGATTTTGTTCAATTGTAAGTCTAGAGGGAAAACACAAGCTTGCTGTCTCTGGGCACCTGGATTCACATTTGATTTAGTTCTCTCAGACTAAGCAGTTTTAGTGGTCTCAGCCTTTGCCATGAACAGTCAATCAATGAGTCAAAATTCTTTCTCCCCCACAGAGAAGTCTAGTCCTGGCTTGCCAAGTGCAGGCTTTCATGGCTGTAGCGCTGTAATAGATCTGTATGGAACTCGAGGTTATGCCTTAGCTCACTACTATGTAACTCTCATCCTGTCTTTAAAGCCTATTGTCTACATCAGGGATGGGCAATAATTTTTAAAAGGGGGCCACTTCAGAAATTTCTGAAGTGGCCCTAGGGTCATCTTGGAAGGGGCGGGGTTAGGGTTAGCGACCTCACGCGCTCTTCTTGTCCGTCGGCCGCCAAAGGTGCGCAGCAGCTAGAGATAAACGCTGGCTGTTTTAAAACAGCTAGTGTGCAAGGAGCCTTTGCGCGCTCCCCCGCCACCAGGCTCTGATTGACCTGGGGGTGGGGGAGTGGCAGGGCAGTCGTGGGCTGGGTCCAGCCTGCAGAGAGCCCTTTGCCCACCCCTGGTCTGCATGGAATCTAGAGGCATGATTTCCAGCATGAGTAGATGTACCTGCACTAGCTCTGGTTGAGCCAGTGTGCTAAAAATACAAGAGTAACCATATCAGTGAGAGGGCACAGCTGCCTGACGACACACCTAGGGTTTCAGACACGATCATCTATGGACAGAGAGTCCCTCCTCCACTGTATCTACAATTCTATGTTTAGCATGCAAGCAATCAGAGCTAACATGGGTATATCTACTGAAGCTGGAGATTATCATACACCCTAGCAAAACCAGAGACAGGGTGGGAGGGTGAGAGATGGACAAAGGGAGTAAAATCATTTCTATCTCTGTCAGAGTCATCCTGGAAGGAGCTGAGTCCTCCGTAGTGGAGGCAGCCTTGGGACAAACCATTCATCTTCTCTGCAAGGCTGGTGGTTCTTCCTTCCATAGAACTGAGTGGCAGAAAGATGGGAAACCACTATCATCTGACAGGTAAGTCTGGTCCCATGTTGCTATTTCTGTTTCTACATCACCGTTTCTCCTCCTCCTCCCCCATACAGCTTGCTGAATCTTCTAAGACATTCTCAAAAAGCAAAATACAAACAAAATAACTTGGTCAACTAAAAAAGCCCCATCATAACTAAGTGATTACAGAAAGGCCTAGGCACAGTGCTAATACATTGGCTGTTAATTGTGGTGCAGCTGAATGCTTACGGATTATCAGGTAGAAAAGGATTATCATATTGCCAACTTTCAGAAACAACACTCAATTCACAAATGAGTTCTGAGTGCAAAGTCCTTTTCAGTGTTGTTGGAAGCAGGTTGAGTTGCCCAGGAAGCACATTAATACCTACCCATGTATACTCTGGAGTGGCTTAATGCTATCCAATTGCAGCTCATCCGATTTAAAAATTAACCTTTTAGAGAAATCCCTCTTGAATCTCAGCTTTTTGGGTGTGGGGATCGGGATGGGGATGGAGTCTCCTGCAGCAGTCTATGGCCCAGCACTTTCTGAGGTAAAAACTAAGGTGGAAATATTGAACAGTTCCTACCCTTGTTTTTCCACTGGATGGCCACACACTGTTGCTGGAAGGGCAGCCAAGCACTTAAGTGAGAGGACAATTTAAAATGGTCATGTTGTCTCCTCTTTACCCTTTGTTTCCCCAGTTCAGTTTCTCTTCCTCTCACCCATTCAATAGTTTGGGGAGCTTTATTCCAGTGATGAGGACCCAGCCATTTATCACAGGATGGTCGTTGCAGCTGTGACATAAACAAAAAGGCCCAACTGCCCAATCAGAATGTGGCTTTGGATAATCAGGAGCCACTGCCAGAGCCCCATAAGTAACTGCATGTGTTCCATCTACAGGCATACCTACCAGTCGGATAGTTCTTTGGTGATCAGCCGTTTCATGGCTGAAGATGCAGGGATGTACACATGCGTAACTTCCAATGGGAAGATGGAGAACAGACAGATTCAGCTCCGGATCAAAGGTGACTTATTATTGACCATTTAAAACCAGAACATTATTTCTTCTTTGTCCCTTATTAAGGCATGGGTAACAGGAACAATTAGTCAGTTGCAGGGGCAGACTTTTGATGGACCTTCTTTGAGCTGTGGATTCTGCTTAGGTATGTGCCGGCTCAGTGCACTGATGGTGGAGATCTTTGCCTCCAAATACCCATAGGAGTGGCACTTACACCCTGCTGTCTTAGTTCCTTCTCTGGCTATATAATGGCTGTGAACTCGCCTATAGGGATGTGATTGTATACCTGTGTACATGGTTACACACAGCTCTCCCCTCCTGTGCTGCTGCCTCTGTATTAGAGGCAGCAGCGCAGGGGAAGGCAGAAGGAGCTCGTACATGCAGAAAGCCAGCTCTCGTGGAGCTGCCTGTCACCACCAGGTCTGTGGAGGGTTGGGGGCTGGAGCTTCTGCTCCTTTTCCTGCTACAGGGGCAGGGTGAGGAAGCAGCGGAACTGCTGGCAGCTCCTCCAGCTGCTGTACCACTCCCAGCTCCCCCCCCCCCCAGGTAACATGGGGTGGGGACAAGAGAAGGGAAGCAGGGTGAGTAACGTGGGGAGGTCACGTCCTCCCTTAGCTGGTGTGCCCACCAGGTACTGGGGGAAAATAATTTTACTTTCACCCCCAATCTTCCCATACTGGCTGTCAGGTGATGGTTAGCTTTTTATCTGGCTAGAATCAAAGCTTTCTGTTCCTCATCTGGTTTGTTTGTTTCACAAGCAGATTGCATGAAGGGTCAAGTGGTTGTCACAGTCTCCAGGTGTAGAACTTCCAGTATGATGACGTGTGATGTAGCCAAGCTACACCACCACGAAAGCTCAGGCAACACAGACAGGCCTCCTCAGTGCCATTCCAGTATTGGACAGTTGCAGGCTGCCATTTGAGCCTCTGTTCATACTGTTACAATCTGCTGCCCAGATCAGAACAGCCATTGGGAAGGCAATTCTGCAATCCTTGTGTAAACAGACTCCACGCCCCATGGCCTAGGAGTACTGCTTGCAAGTCACCTAAGTAGAAAGTGCAGCTGCATTAGTTACCTGCCTGTAACTGTTGTTTGTTGAGATGTGATGCAGATTGCCTGCCCCACCCTTTGTTCCCTCTGCATTGGAGTCTGTATGTCTGATGTTGGTTGCAAAGGAATGGAGGGGGTTGGGATGATGCTGCCTCTATACAGCCAGGGGAGGGGTTATGGCTGCAGGGCCTGGGCCCCACCCTTATGAGTATTACTAGGCAAAGTTCTCTGGCTCCCGTGCACTGGGTGTGGCTGTAAGGTGTCTCTAAGAACAACAGTTACAGATAGGTACGTTTTTGCCTCTCCTGCAGGCTCTTCCTGCTGTTCCTTCTTCCGCAGCAGTGGCCACAGCCTGCTGAGTGCTAGCCACAATCCCAGCAGTACGTCCCTCCATGCAGTGTTAACCCCAGCAGTGCCAGTCATAACTGGAGCAGTGACGTGCCAAATGCCCCCTCACACTTTACTGGGTGCAGAGGGGGCTCTAAGGAAGGGGAATCCTGCCAGTCATGGTCTGAAATCACTGCCAAGACTCCTGCCCTACACATATTAAAGCTCTGCTTGGACAGACCATTGCACTTTGACTCTCTGTGCCTGTGGGAGATACAGGAGTTTTGCCCAGAATGAGCCTCCTTGATTGTGAACGATGTACAAACCTATTTTTTAAAAAGGGGCATTGTAAATAAAGGACTAACTGAATAACAAAAGGCTAAGAAGTCACCTCTCCCAGGTGTGCCTTCATGCATCTGCAGGAGAGTGCCATTTTTGGGGGTATGTAGCACGTTAAAGACTAACAAGATGGTTTATTAGATGATGAGCTTTCGTGGGCCAGACCCACTTCCTCAGATCAAATAAACCAATGATTATTTGATCTGAGGAAGTGGGTCTGGCCCACGAAAGCTCATCATCTAATAAACCATCTTGTTAGTCTTTAAAGTGCTACATAGTCCTGCATTTTGCTTCAACTACCCCAGACTAACACGGCTACATTTCTATCACCATTTTTGGGGGGTAATGGCAAGAGAGGTCCTTATCCAAGAGATACTGCTGCCTTCCCATTGATGAAGGAAAGCAAGGTGTCTACTGAATGGCAGTAGCTCCCATTAATAGAAATTGCAGTCAGAGAACAAATGCTGTAGAGGCTTATTCACATACAGCATTCTATTTTGAATAGAAGACCGTGGATCTCCTCTGACAGAGGGTATTAGAGGTCAGCTGTTTCCTGGTCTGAATCACCCGCACAGAGATCTCACCAGAGGAGTGAATACTGTACAGTCATCAGGTTCCTCTGTACACCAGTCATTCATGTACAGGTATGGCCAGCAACAGGCATTTGACATGCCCAAGTGGCATCCACCTGGTACCCCTGGTGGGAAGATTAGGGCAAAGTACCCTCTTGCTTTGGGGAGTTATAGGGTGGTGCTTGGGAGTGTTGGATGGATGAAAATGGCATTTAGCCAAGGTCCCAGTCACACTAGTATGAGAGCGAGAAACTATCTTTACCTTGCAGAGTTCCATTCATGACAACAGCATTCCTGGCTGGGTTGTACATGGTGGCTGGCAGCATGTTTTTCTCTGAAAGCTATGCACTTGTGCAGCTGCTCTGGAGAGTCAGATGCTGCTGAGCTGATTAGCCGAGAACCAGCAGCTAGTTTTTTTTTTTTTTATTTCTACTGGTGGTGCACGTGCATGTGCCTTGATGCACATACAAATTTCTTTTGCATGTGAATGGAAAAGATTAGAGAGAACATTGACTGGCAATAGAGTAGGATTTAAATGACCAAAGAACACCAGGGGCAATGCTGAAGAAAACCAAAAGGGACTAATTTTAAACAAGCACAAACCAGACCCATTGAATACAAAAGCCAAACACCATAGTTCCCACTCAGCTCTAGCTGCAAGCAGGGGGACAGAAGGTGAAAGTGTTAAACTTTTCTGCAGCTGAAGAAGGATTTGGTTGGAATTTTGAGTAAAGGCTGCAGATTGGTAGCTTCCCTTTAGTCTAGTTTGTCCATCCCAACATGGCATATTGCCCAGCCCAATGGAAAAAACAGAAATAAAACGGAGCTGATTTATATCCATCTGAAATAACATTGGGCTGCATCACCTGCTCTTTATGCAGACTAAACATGTCACAGGACACCAGACTGTACAGTGAGGTAGGCCTGATGCAGAAATGTCCTAGGGGGGGGTGAGGTTCTATGGCTATGCAGAGCTGGTGATCAGAGTGTAATAATAATTATTCCTGCCTGCCTTTCAGTTTGTGAATTTATTTAGTTGTGTGTGGCAGGCAGGCACTTGTGGGGAAGCTCGTTTGGTTCCCTGATCAGCAGTGCCTAACATCACATGGAATGACCTCTTAAGCTAGTGAAAGCCTTATGAGAGCTGGCATGTTCTAGGTTGACAGCCAAAGGAATGCCTGGAGGATAGGTATGTAGTTCTGCAGTCCCCACAACATTAATGTAGCGACAATGCATTTTAGCAACTCATATGCAGCTGGCTGCAGGTTGAGGTGGTGTTTCCCCTGGGGAGGAGCTAGGAGCATCAGAATTCTGAGGAGAATGCAGAGGTCTTCCCTCCCGTCCTCCCCAGGACAAAGCAGACGTGTAATGTAGCAGACCTGAATTGTTTTGCAAATGCTGAGCAAGGAAGATGCTGCATGTACTTCATATGAAGTGCGCTTTCTGGGCTTGTGGCAATCCTTACTGCAGATTAAGAATGGATCAGAATGAGCCCTCTGTGGTGGAAGCCAACATTGGAGAGCGAGTCAGACTGCCCTGTGGAGCAGAAGCCTCACCTGCTTTAACCATCCAGTGGCAGAAAGATGGGCAGCCGGTCTCCTCTTCCAGGTGAGTTCAGATGGCTGAGTTGTCATCACAGGCAGCCCTTGGGCATTCCAAGACTGGGGCCCCTAAAGATAATGCATTCTCTTTTCCAGAGAGTCAAGGCCCTAATGATGGAATCAGGGATCTGATTTATAACAATTAGTTAATGCAATCAGGGAGTAGAAACACCACCTGGTGATTTTAGGTGGTCTGGCCCTCAGAAAATGTGACCAACATTCTCAAGTGAATAGCTGTGGTGAATAACTCACCAGTGATTCAGAGGCTGAGATTTGTTCAGATGCAAGATTGCCATGTGTTGTCATTTTGATCAACCAAATTACTGGCGAAGTCATAGAGAGGCAGGATCTTCAAGTTTTACTTAGGTCATCATGTGGTAGCTTCCTGCCCCCTCCTCCAGAGGATGGGTTTGAGGAGTCTCTGAAGATCACAGCACTAGGATGTATTTTTACTTGGTGGCACAGTTCCCCTTATTGCTAATAGGAGTCACAGCCCACTTACATCTGTGTTGCTGCTGAATGTTTACCCAGAGGGTGTTAGCAAAAAAGTTTAAGTCCTCAGCTGCTGCTAACCCCATGACTGTACACTCCTTCTCCCTTCCCAACCTCAGGGGAATTTGTGGCTTTGGTCCCCAGGCATAGGCAGCAGTCGGATGGTGCCCTGGTGATCACTCGTGTTGACGCTGAAGACGCTGGCTTCTTCACCTGCATTGCTTCAAATGGACATGGCCAGGACCAACAATGGGTCCAGCTTCAGACTCTAGGTATCAAAAAAGGAAAAGGCCCCATTGTGGGTTGTAGACTATTTATAAAAAGAAGGGAGTGGGAAAGTGGGTAGATGGTCCCAGCTGAAGTCATGGATTTGGTCTTTATGGTCTCTACCGCACATGGCATTCAAGTCTAGAGTAGGTCATTATATTGATTGCTTCCCTAATGGCTGAAAAGTCCATGTGTGACTAGAGTAGCTGTAGCTACACTGTGTAATTGTGCTGCTGCAGAGTTCTGACTGTAGGCAACTCATTGAAAAGGTGTTAGTGTTCACAAGATTTCAGCAGGGGTGCAGAAGAGAAATCAAGGGGATTCCCTCTCTCCACCTATGTACAAGCAGTGAGGGCCCAGCAAAGGGAACAAAGCTGGGGGAGGGCTCAGGAACCTGCCCAGGTGGTGTTTGACCAGTTAGAGCCCAGTGGAAAGACTTCTCATGAAGGATGTTCCAAGTACCAGTGGCAGCCTAGAAGGGGCTTCCTGCTATTGATGATCTCCTGACTGCGCAGGTGAGCTGAAGATCACAGGCCTACCACCAAGCCTCACTGTGTCTGAGGGAGAGAATGCCCGGCTCCAGTGCATGGTGACAGGCAACAATGTGAATGTAAGATGGTCCAGGTGAGCAATACAACCCCTTTGTAACAGCATTTCCTGTCCCTCTTCCCTTCCTGAACAGTGTCACTTATTCCCCACTCCTGGCAAGATACAGAACCTACATCAGTGTTTCTTAAACTTTAAGACCAGGGAACACCAACCTAATTTTTATTTTATGAGAAACACCAAAAAAGGCTACGTCTAGACTGACATGATTTTCTGCAAATGCTTTTAACGAAAAAGTGTTAAAAGTGTTAAAAGCATTTGCGGAAAAGAGCATCTAGATTGGCACGGACGCTTTACCTCAAAAAGCGCTTTTTGCGGAAAAGCGTCCGTCCCAATCTAGACACGGTTTTGCGCAAGAAAGCCCCGATCGCCATTTTCGCGATCAGGGCTTTTTTGCACAAAACAATACCGTGTTGTCTACACTGGCCCTCTTGCACAAGAAGCACTGATTTCAGACAGTAGGAAGTCAGTGTTCTTGCGGAATCAAGCGGCCAGTGTAGACAACTGGCAAGTTTTTCCACAAAAACAGCTGCTTTTGCCAGTCTAGACACAGCCCATGGATTTTTGTTTCAGAGCGCCAAAAAAAAAAAGTGGCCATTTTGAACTCTGTTGTTCGCTGCTGCACACCCATGTTCCCTGGAACACCGGCCTACATTAAACATTAATATAGGACAGCTAGTTGGGCTCTCCAAGCCTCCTGCAATATCATCTCTACCCATGCAAAAGCTGGGCTAGACAGGACAGTGTGTCCTGAAACACACCCTTTAATGCCAGCAGTTTTCCTAGCTCCTTTCCCCTCCCCCAAAAAATACCCCCCACAACCTATGGAAAGGGAAGAATTAAAGGTCAATTACTGTCTTTTTTCCTACTTAAAAATTCAGTTCATCACACTTGGTTAACTATTTTTAAGCAAAAGAAACAAACACACACAAAAACCTAAGGAGTCGTGTGGCAACTTCTGACAAAGTAGGATTTTGCTCATGGAAATTTATGCTCAAATAAACAAGATAGCCTTTAAGGTGCCACAGGACTCATTGTTGTGGATACAGACTAACTCTACTACTTCTCTGAGACTTACAAATCAGTACAAATTGTGCTGGAGTTCCCTGTGGAGGAGCCAGAAAAGAGACTTGAGAGTGGTCCTGGTCCTTAACTGGAGATTTTGTCACTTGAGGATTTGGTATTAAAATGAACAAAACAAGAACCAATGTTTTAAAGTCTGAATAAACTCACCCTTTTCAGTGACCCGGGTTTAACTTCCTCAGTAATTTATTTGCAGGTCTGTTAGTTCTCCAAGTCTGGATAAAATATTCCAGGAGAAACAGATGAGCCAATATCTGACTTTCTACTGTAAAAAAACAAGCACAGCCTGTTGGCGCTTCCTGAAAGAGGAAGAAAGAGAGTCAAGACCCCATTCTTCCATTCCATATACTCCCCACCTTTAAAGCCAGATGCATTGGTCTCAGGATCAGTGGGGTTTGGAGAAAGAGCAAGCAGCAGGCAGCACAGCTAATAACTGCTAGCCAACTACTCACTACCAGCCTAGGACTAAAGAGTAGATCTAGGGTGCATTTGCTCCTGCTTCCTCCAGTCTGTGCCATGAGATACTGTACAGAAGCAGAGGTTTTACACAGAGCACACAGCTGGCTTAACACATCTTTAATTCTAGGGCCCTGGTTGAATAATTGTTTACCCTACTTGTGATCATTGGCTTTTAAAAGAGTTTACAGGGAATTAGTTCAAGTGTCAACAGAAGCTTTAGACCCTCAAACACTTATTATAGTAACTAGCAGAATGGCCTTTCCACTACAGGAATGGGGTTCCCATGCGAGCAAATGGTCACCACATCCACCTGTCACAGGATGGAAGCCTGATGATAAATAATGCTGGGCCAGAGGATGAGGGATCCTACACATGCAGTGCCTACAGGGGGAGCAACTCCGTCAGTGCCAGCACTGAGGTGAAAGTGATCAAGAGGCCGCCTGAAGGTGAGCACCCTCACAAGGGAGGCCTAGCAGCCTGAGCAGCAGGACCACAGGTTCTTACAAACTCTGCCAGAAGTTTGCTGTGACACCCTGAACTCATGTCATACCCTAATATCAGGCCTCCCTGCATATGGGATTAACTTGGGGGTGGGGAGCTGGGAAGTTCAAATCATTCTGGGCAACCAGGAGAGATGCTGATCAGCCACAAAACTCCCTGTGGTTTGGGAAGAGCAACTACAGGTGCTCAGACACCAAAGTAGGTGACCTGGTTTGCTAACACTGGATTTCTAGACCTGAACATTTTGGAAGGCAGCAAAGATTTATTTACATAGGCAGCACAGGGAAGGCAGGAACATGCTCTCTCATGATGTTTAACTGTGAAAGGAGACAAAATCCTGAGTGTAGGTCCTGGCAGATCATCTGAGCTTTGGCTACTTACCCATTTAGAAATATTTGCCAGAAATTATGCGAATTAAGTGAAATCTTAACTGATGCCCTCTCCTTGCCCTCCCTCATTTAACCTGCCATTTGTTTTGCTGCAGCTGTGGACCTGACCAGAGAGTGTGTTGACCAACCACACCTTGCCAACTGTGAACTGATATTACAGGCCCAGCTCTGCACTAACGAGTATTACTCCAGCTTCTGCTGTGCCAGCTGCTCTCAGTACCAGCCCTAGGACAGCCCTTCTCGACAACAGGGATGGAAACAGCACTAGCCCAGATCCAAGAGAAGGCAGCCTTAGAAGATTACTACATAGGAGAACAGGGATTTTGTGCTTTTTACTCCCAAAACATACTCTAAGAGCCTCGTTCTGCTCAAGACTCAGGTGGGCTATTTTACCAATATGTGAATATTACTCAGTGTAATTGTTCAAAGGCAGTAGAAACTCCAGCATCCCAAACTACTAAATCATATCTCATTTTCACACATGCTTTGCTACAGAACACCTGCAAAGAACCCAAGAATCCTTAGGCTTCTCTGAAGCAACTACAAGTGTGAAAGAAGGAGAGAACCACTTTAAGAACAATATTGGGGAGCCACATGGAGAAAGACAACCACCATCCAGCTATAATAAGGCTGCAGAAATAGTGCAGTGGGATGTTTCCATCTTTGGGCAGTGTCTGTAGGCTTCTAAGGGGCACAGGACGTAATGGGTGTTCCAGTGCCACAACAGCCTCAATGTTTCTTTCATCCTAACACACTTTATGAACAGAACTGTATGCACAGATCATTTCAACTGCTCATGAAACAGAGCCAAGTATGGGATGAAACAGATACTGCTTAACTGCCCACAGAAAGAGGGGCATTTCAGGTAGGCAAGTCCCTGCGCTTTAATCTCTGCACTTAGAAAAATCAGGACCCTGCTTTTCTAATTCATCCAGCAGTACAGCACAGTCTTTGCTGAAAGCTCTGGCATAGATAACTTTCTACCCACAGGCTCACCAGTGCCTTAGAATTCTGTCCTTACTTAATTGCCCGGAGATTACATCTCTCTTGTTCTACAGCTCAGAGTGGAGACCTAAGTCATTCCATCACTCTAGTACTACAGGTAAGGAATAAGGAGTTCCACGTACAATAAATGAAACAGATACATTCATTAGTTCATGTTTAACAGTGGTATCATCAAATGTATGCCCAGGACTGTGAAAGAGAAACAATAAGTACTACTAGGGCGACAAGGTGCTTTGCTCAAGTCAAGATAGGGTTTTGCCAACATCCCAAAACAGAATTATTGCTTTCTATGCTAGTGTGTGATGTATAAAGTTACTGGTTTGTATAGTACACCTCCTTATTCCAATGTGCCTGCAGTAACTTGAGTGAGTTAATCATATTAGTCAGCTACACCATCATATAGTATATTCTAGCATGTATAAAAGTGTTACTCAGCCTTTGTTGTTTCCCCCTTGATGTTATACTGGGCATTTAACAACATAGACTATGGACAGGCAATGTTTTCCCTCCCATCTGCTAACAGAAAACTGGATTTCATACATCCCAATGTCAATGTGGGTTGTATGCTGGGTACCTCCTGGGTTCTAACTATGGTAAATTAATCAACTCTTCTAATAATCCATAGTTTGCTATTTTCTACTAAAACAAAGTAGAGCAAAATTGTATTAGTGTATCCATCACCTTTCCTTCTCCTATGCAAGCTACTACGCAAAGTTAGCCATGTTTTTGTTTTGCTGTAGTAGGAGGCAGCATTGAAGTCTGCATTCTTTTCTTTGATCTTAGGCAAATCCCAACCATTTGCTGCCTCAGTATGTCCATTAGTGAATCCCTGCTCCTCAGGAGTGTTTCCTTTTTGCCAAGTGCTTTACAAACATTAGGAATTGAACTTTGCTAATTTAATTCACTCAAGTTCTCAATATTAAGCACGATTCCTCTCTGGTGGATGTGCATGTGCTCTACAGAGCACCTGTCAGGAGGATGACACTACAGGCTAGCCCTGCCCTTTCTGATTATATGCTTGCTTCAGGACAGTGCAGTGGTAAAGGAAAATTAACAAAGCACACTTACAGTGATCCCCAAGTTCTTGAGAATTTACTAGTGTACTAGACAGTGCAGTTTTAAAACACATTAAGAGTCAACCTTTGGTTAAGTTTTGTGAGAGCTACATAACTGTAAATGCAGTACAGGCTTTGTGATAGGCCTCTATGTCCAGTGGAACTTTTTTATTAATCAACTGGTGTCACTGCATCTAGTTTTGACAAAATGGAGACAGTTCCACAGCTGCCCCTTTGAATCACACAGAGGCCGCATTTTAAAAGAGCGGCCACCTTGGGATTTTAAAGGGGCAGCGCTGCCCCTTTGAAGTATCCCCTTTCTGCCTTAGTCTTTTGACTAGTCAATATCCCCCCTTTGATATCTGGTAAGTGTAGTCAGCTAGTCTTTAACATTCCTAAAACAAATAACTCTTAGGCAAGTATGGGTGGTAGGAACTGAATGCTTTGAGTACATAGTGTGCAGGGGGAGAAAGTATGAAAACAAGGAAAACTTTGCAAAATACAAGTTTCTACCACCAACATTTATTTGTTAAAGCCGATTATAAATCATCATCAGTACAAATATATAACTTACATTTGCTTGTAAGGCCAAAGTTTAAAGTTAAAACAAAATGGATTTCACCAGTCACCAGAGGCAGAACTTGGAACCAGCTGCAGCCCTAATCACAAAGTTTCACAAACGAAGAAAAGTTAAAAACAAATCTATGAACAGACACAAAATGGGTTCCTGGGTAACCCCAGTTTGTAGATATGGTTACAGTAAATCACAGTAGTGTTAAAAACTGATTGAATTAAGACAAGGAAACTGCAGCAGTACATGAAAGAAAATATACATACTATAATATTTAGTTTGATTCCATTAAAAAAGACAATATAATTTCCCCATGGTTTTCAAGCCATGGCAATACTGTTCTTTAATTTTATTTATTTAAAACTACTATATAGGGACTTTATTGGTCATGACTCAGGATTGTTGTTGCAATATGCTACTTACAATGAACTGATACAAGTACAAGCTAGGGACCCATTCTCCTTCTCCCCCCCCATATTACTTACAATAAGAATCAGTGATAAATCTATCTTATATACAATTTCTTACATCCAACCCCTTTTTTCCTTTGGCAAGATTACTTACAACTCATACAGCTTTTAATAGCCAGAACTATTTAAAATATTCTAAATGCATAAAAATAAAGATTTTGGCTTTATTTTATTCATATATATATATATATATATATTATAATAATAATAATAATTTCTCTTTTACTCAAAATGGAAGCTCAACTTTTTCCACAAACAGCTTTTGATGGGCAGTTGACAACTGCACTCTCTTAGGACATCCAACAACTCGTTTTCCCCACCTTTGAAAATTTTGCTTCCTCTTTCCTGTGAATGTTCCCCTGGAGGAAAGTAGAAAGATGCTAAAGACAAAAGTAGCATTTGATTTTTGTCCTGTAAGATCTTGATGTTCCAGCAAATGGGCTTCAGGACACAACCCATGCCTGATCTGTTGGGTTTCTTCTGGAGGGAGGGAGTGCAGAAAGTGGAGTTTCCATGACTCCTTTTAATAACTGCATATAACAGGTTCATTGTAGGGTTTCCTCCCCATGACTGTTCCCTCTTCAGTTGTAAAGACCTTTTGGGTTTATCAAAATGTACTGGCTGGAAATAGTCCTCTTCACCCTCCATCGTAGCACACACCCACATTCCAAGGCTGTTTAAAGCTCAATCTCAAAAGTCTTCTGTAAATCACTTGAGAAGGGGTTAGTTGGAGAGGGATTAGTGCGCTGTTTTGACTTGCTTTCTAGTGCTGCCCACTGTGCTTCAAATGGATCCACCTGGTGGGCAGATGCAGGAGGCTGTAACTGCTTGTCCTCAGTGGCCCATTTGCCACTGTCAACTCCATTAAAAGCTGCAGAGCCATTGTGCTGAGCAGAAGATTTGAAGAAGGGACTGGCAGTAGCACTGTTGGTTTCATACTGGGGGAATGTCTGCTGCTTGACGAGACTAGGTGACTGATGGGGATGGGATGCCGGAGTGTGACTTGCAGTTCCAAAAACATTGGCTACCATCTGAGAAGGAGTGATTCCAACCACAGGCACACTGGGAGCAGAAAAGGTCATTCCATTTGCTACAGCATACGGCTGAGCAGGGATAAATGGTGGCTGCATTGGTGGTACCACACCAATTGGCACTGGCTGAGGTGCAACAAAGGTGGTCACCGGAAAAGGTGGTGTTGGCTGGGAAGCTGCAGGGGGAGGCTGTACTGGAGGCTGTACTAATGGCTGTGGGGCCACAGATGGTTGCTGCTGGGCTCTGACAGTCTTTGACACCTCTTCCAACCAGCGGTCTGCCTCAGAAGGAGTGCGTCTGTGAGTCATCTGGAAGGGACTTGGTGAAGCTGCACCTGAGGAGGTGCTCCATTCAGTACCTGGAAAGGAAAATATGGTGAAGTCATTACAATGTCAGTTGGCCAGCTGTGTTCACCCCTTTATCAATGCTAGTCCAAGGGTTCCAAAGAAGTGTACTCGAAAGTGGCCCCAGGCTCTCAGCCCCTGAAGTTTGGGAGGATGCTGCAATCTCTACAAGCACATTTTTTTTTAACTCAGCTGGCCAAGTATGCTGCTCTGTAACATGCAACTCAAATGGGAACTGACCTCTTTAACAACTGGAAAACAGGCTGGCCCTGGGATAAATAAAGGATTGGTGGGTAGAAGAGGAGAATTCCCTTGTTCCAGAAGAGATTTTATCTAACAAATTTGCCACTCGTACTCCCATCATCCCCATTCAGGAGGGGATACTGGCAGCACTGAAGTACTTTGATAGATGCAATGTGATGTTAGTTTTCCGCAGGAGGGAAAAAGACAAGCAGGAAAATGTAGCACTACTTTTCCTCACTACTTGCTCCTACTTTGGTATAGGAAACGACAATTTAAGACTGCTCTGTTTAGAGCAGAATAGTTTTTGAACATGCTAGTCAGGCCTAAGGGATGCTTAGAATTCAAGCTGTAGCAAGATATGCTAGTAGCTAAAGATGCAGTTAATTGAATAGTCAGTTAACCTCATGAATTCTTATTGGTGACTCGACTATTCTATAATTGCTGGGGTGGAGCCCGAAGCTAGGATGCTCTGGCCCCATTCCTAAGGAGCCCCCTGCCATGCCGCACTGCTGCCTCTGTATCAGAGGCAGTGCAAGGTACCAGGAGGGGAGCTAGTTTAAAACCCAGTTCCTCTCTCAGACTGGCTGACTGTCCCCCCGCGCTGCTGTCTCTGATACAGAGGTAGCAACGTGGAGGGGGGGGAGGAATAGAGAATGACACTGAGCTTCCGGACCCAGCACGAGCCAGAACTGAGCTGGGCTGCCTGCCCGTCTGGCTCCTAATACATTTTTAAATGAAGAGATGCAGCAGAGGTAGGTCTCTCACCAGGCACGGGGGGGCGGAGAGAGAAAGGCATGTAGTCTATAGCCTCAATCTATAAGCTTTTGCTCATCGGTTAATCAGTTAATTGACTATACTATTACATCCCTAGTGGTAGCAATAGTATTTGCTTTTTCTACTTAATTATAAAGGGTCCATCTCTTTCCCCTACTTTCTATTCTTTATCATCTTTTGGTCTGTTGTTTTCCAAAACTATGTCAGGGCTTGTGAGTAGTGGTGGACTGGAAGCCCTGGAGACTAAACCCTATTCATTAACAGAACATGTAAATAATAGGCAACCATATGAGTTTTTTCCACCATGAGTCCTGACCTGATACCTGCCTACTAAGTATCTTGGCCACTCAGACCACCCACCAATTACACGCATGGCAAGATTTTCAGATGGCAACAAACTTTAGCATTATAACATTGTGCCAGACTGGAATCTGAGACTTAAAATGCTCTGTCCCTCAATACCTAAATCTGAACTTGTTACCAATTTCATTATTTAGTGGAAGGTTCTTTGGAATAGGGGATAAAGTGGAAGAATGCAAAGAGAAGAGTTGCTGGATTAACCTAGCCATAATGGTTTTAAGGATGCTTTCACTGGAGGTTGGATCTAATGGGGCAAGTAATTCATGAACATTTCAGGGCTCCCTAAGGCACTCATTTGCCATTACATAAAGGTGAGACTGCTCATTTATACACACACTTTCTATGGTTAAATGCACTTCCCAAAAGTTTGTCTATATACACAAAATTTGCAACATTCAATAAAATAATTAAACTGTAATTATTATTACACTTTTGTTTGTTTTCTTAATCTCTACTTTTTGCTTATTTTTTTCCTATATAATTCAGTCAGTTTACCTCTATCTAATGTTTCTGCAATGTTCAAATCTCGAGATTTCAGTTTTTCCCCTGGCTGTTAAGCTTTTAAATAATTTCCCTTCAGCACAGTCTCTCTTTAGATTCCATACAACTTATTCCTCCTCCTATGTTCTTTTTTTCTTTCCTTCTCATGTTTTTCAGCCTCTTTCCCCCTCTCCTTCCCCCCCCCCATCCTCTCCCTATACCAACTTTCCAACAATGATGGAAAGAAGAATCAGAAAGGTAAGGCGGCAGTACTGTTGTTCAAATGCTGCTGAGTGTTTTGCTGAAGTAAGATGGAATCTTTGATCAGTGATTTAACAACCGTTGAATCCCTAAAATCAGGCAGACACAGAGCTCTCTGACTTTGGCAGAAATAAGTGTAGACATTGTATCCAGAGATCAAGAACCTACCAGGCCACTACACAAGTTCCTTTGGTATACAGGACCAGGATCAAGGATCTATGGTTAATTCATCTTTGGCTGTGATCCTAAACAGTGGAACACATTTGAGTGGCAAAATTAAACCTTTGGCTACCTGGGAAGGTAGCAGAGCCAGGGTTTAGGCCATCTACAAGGAAATATTTATCAGTTCTACAGGTAAACAACCCTCCTCTCTCATGTAGACACATTTATTCTGATACAAGGATGCCTTTTTTGTGTCAGACTAAAACTCACCTTATTTGTGCCAATAAGAAAAGATATTTTAAGTATAGAAGCAACACTGAATTTTTTTTCCCTCTAAATTTCCATGACTTTTGGCAGCTTAAGAAAATCATGAGGTGCTAAGATACTCACAGTACAGTCTATACCCCCATAACCATATGGCTTCTCTCTACCACTTAGGAAAAATCTTCTTCTAGTTTGTGTTGCTGTTCCTTCTAGTCCCTTTGAAACACATCTGTAGCTATGCTAGGGGCCCAATCAGATATCTGACCCTAAATTCTCAACACAACTGAGAGGCCTATCCCCAATCTTACCAGAGAATGCCGCTACAGCTCCAGTATTAGCAGCAGGAGCCTGAGCCCAAGGATTGGTTTCACGAACTGGCATAGCGGTGGGTGCTACA